GATGGGAGAGGGAACTGCAGCCTCACACACGCCAGTGGTACCACACACACACACACACACACAGACCCAAGCGAGGGGACGGTACCTCCGGAGGGGGTGGTTTGATGGTCACGGGCTGGGACGTCCGGCGGGGTGGGGAAGGCTTGGGCTGCACCTGCTGCTGGACAGTGTTGTAGTAGGTGACCCCCCCATACACCTGGGACTGCGCCTGCGGGAGCAGCGGGGTCAGAGCTCTGGGCTGGGGGGACTGGGAGACCCCACACGGCCCCTGCCAGGCTTGACAGCTGCCCCCAGCCAGCACCAAGGGTGAGCCGGCATGGGGAGGGGGCTAACCTGTGCTGTGCCCCCCGAAGATCAGCTCCTGAGGCCCCTCGTGTACCCCCACCCCTTGCTGGGGTCCCGCTGGTAGGGTGGGCAGAGACGGGACACCACCCATGGCAGAGGGGGTTCCCTCATCCTGCAGTTCCCCAATGCCACGGAATGCTTGTACTTCCCAACAGCTTTTCCACAGGGACACAGCTCCCCGGCACACCCAGCCCCGTGGCCCAGGGGTCAGGATCTGCCCCCAGAGTGGGGATCACCCGGAGCAGCAGGAAGGGCAGGGAGTGTCTGGAGCTCAGGGATCGTGCAGCTCTCTGTCCTGCCACGGTGTGTCAGCCCTGCTCCGGGACGGGGATCTGGGCTGGGCTCATCTGCCTCCTCACACACATCTAGTCTGCTCTGATTTGCCTTTGCAAGGATATGGTCTGCCCTGCCTCCTGGAGAATCTGATCTGATCTGTCTCCTCACAGGGATCTGATCTGGTCTGACCCTCACAGGGATCCGATCCAATCCGCCTCCTCAGGGATCTGCTCTGATCTCTCTCCTCACGGACACGATCCAATCTGCCTCCTCGCTGCTCGGCAGCAACCTTAGATGTGGAGTTGGGTCACAGAGCAAGAAAATCCAGCCCCATGTTCACACCATCCAGTTCCCAGCCTCCATCCCAAACAGAACCGACTTCCAAAGCCGTTCCCAAGGTGTCCTTGGCTCAGCAGGGACCTGGAGGGGCTGTGCCTGTTCCCAAGTTTCTGGTGGGCTGTCTCCTGTTCCGTAGGGGAACGCCTCGATTTCAGATCCCCCATTACAGGATTTCCAGACCCCACACGCAGGGAGCAATCCTTTCCAGGATGGCAGCAGCCTCCCCCTCACGGAGCAGCGCACCTGCTCCACATCCTCTCCCAGGAAAACCTCGGAGAACACACCCCACGCTCCACAGGGTCCCTCCTGCTTGGGAAGGAGCCGCGGCACACCCGGCTTACCTGTGTGTTGGGATAGAGATGCGGAGGAGGCGGAGGGGGCAGAGCTCCGGGGGGATAGGGGTAGCCAGGATTCCCAAAATTCATCACTCCAGGGGCGGAGAAGTAGGTCGGAGTGAGCAGCTGCTGCGGCGGGGGCTGGCCCGGGGGCATGGACACCGGCGGGGGGTACAGGCCGGGGTTTGCCATGGCGGGGGGTGTCTGGTGGGGGTGTAAACCTGGAGGTGATGGGAAGGAGAGGGATGTCACTGGAGAAGCCACCGTGTCCCATGGAGGGCCGGGCTGGCAGCAGGAAGAAGCACGCTCTGCTCCAAGGCTCCCCTGCAGCCCCACGCTGGGGAGGGACACGGGGCACGGCCCCTTCCCCAATTCCAGGTCCTGATTCACTGGGATAGGACACGACCCCATCACACATCCACTTCAGGAAACAGTTTTGGTAGCAAGCAGAGAATGTGCCAGTTCAACAGCTTCTAGTTCTCCTTTTCCCTGAGCTACAGAACAGGGAGTGAGGAACCAGCCCAGTGCCCACGGAAGGGAGCAGCTCAGCCCAGAGGGGCCCAACAGGACCTGCAGAGATCCAGCTGAGAGCTGCCAAAGGTTCAAATTCCCCCACCCTACACTGGCTGGAAGCTCCAGAAACACCTGTTTTTTTCTTTCCTTAAAACTGACACTGATTCAGCCTCACTGCAGTAGGGAGCAGGTCTCTTCCATGTTTTAAAACTACGAAAAATGGATTCCCCCAGTGACAGAGGCTGTGGGAAACCAGAGTTCCCTGTCCCCTGGGTCGAGGGGTGTCCTGCTGGCTCCTCACCTGGATGAGGGAGGTGCATCTCCGGCTGCACGATCATCCCTTGGGGTGGCAGCGGGGCCGGGTTCTCCCCATGGGTGTAGATTGGTCCCTGGAATTGTACTGCAACACATGACAGCCTGTGAGGAAAAGCTCCACGGAATTTCATTCCCCTGCAGCAGGACACACAGCCCAGTAGCCCCGAGGGCTCCCAGCCAGCTCCCACGGCACACGCAGGCTCCCAGGCTCACAGCTGCCATGTGATCCCAACAGAAAAGCCTCCTACTCCCTTAGGAAAGCAAGAAAATACTCAGGGAATTTTTTCTCTAACACTTTAAATGCTGGAGGGAATTTCTAATCCATCCTCAGCCCCACTCTGTGACTCTCCCCGCTCTCAAAGGTCAAAGACCTGATTTAAAGTTCATTTCAAATCCCAGCTCTCGGGAAGAATTGGGGTGTCCTAAGAGCCCTGGCACAGGGAGGGGATAAGACTGAGGATAATTCCACGGTTTAAACACAACCAGGGAGGCTCCCAGCAGCCTTTTAGTCACCATATGAGGGGCCACAGTGACACTACAACAAAGGAAAGAGAGGACAAAGCCCACCCTGATCTTCCCAACACTAAAAAGAGGGGGGGGGAATTCCTGCTCCAGCTGCCCAGCTCTGAGCACCCATGGAGACTCGGGAGCAGGGGGGAAACACTCACGTGGGTCATAGTAGTGCCCTTCCATGATGCTGATGTGCATGGGGGGCGCGGGCTCTGGCACGGGGGGTCTCTGGCGCTGTGAGGAGTAACGCTTGACACGGCCCCCCGGCACCGCCTGCAAGAGTCCCGGCGTCAGGGGGGGCTGGGAGGCACCAACACCACACTCCCCCACCCAAACCTCCCCTGGGTCACCCCCGAACAGCCCCAAAGGGGAAAGGCTGAGGTGTCAGGCAGCCTCTAATTACCCCAACCCCAAGCAATTAGAGCCCGTCTCCGGGATCACTCGTTACCATCTCCTCCATCCGGTTGAACTGTGGTGGTGGCCCAGTTCCCACGTGCATATGGTTGGGAATACCTGAGGAAGGAACAGACTGGTTATTATTGTGGTTTGTGCTCGGTCCCAGGCCGGAGCTGCCTCGCCCAGGGATGTTGCTGTGGCTCAGCTCTCTCTCCCATGACATGGAACCTTTGGACTTCATCGCCCTTATGGTAATTCTAAATATTTTGGGACAAATTACAGGCTGTTTTGTCACTGCACGCTCACCCACGGTGCTCAGCACCTTCTAAATCCTGCTTAAAAAATAAATCCACGTCCTGGTTTAAGCTCTGTGTCTGCTGAGACATGGATCTCTTCCAGGTGGATCAAGGATCCATGTGGGATCTGAAGGTGCAGTTTAAACCCTCTGCAGGGTGTAAATGCCTTTATCAAGGGAACCTTTGGAACCAAACAGTGAAGTGACGGCTTTTAAAACCATGGTTTAAACCACGGTGCCAAGGTGACCACAGGTGATCCCAGGGGAGTGAAAATGGACTACATAAATAACTGGAAGTGCTCATGGATCACTGACAGTGCAAATGCAGGCACAGGGATACAGAATGGACTGATGGGAGCCAAATGCTTCCCAGAATTAACTCCTCCCTCATCCACTAGGGACAAACAAGGGACAGCAGAGTCACAGGCAGAATGTGACACAGCCTAGAGCTGTCCCAAGGGAAATTTGTGAAGACACTTCATTTTTAAGCATAAAAACACCCAAAAATACACAATCTGAGCTCTTCTGAACTCTCATCCCACTGCCACGCTTCCATCCTGTCCAAGGGTCTGTTCACACACAGACTTCCCAGTCCCACCAGTACAAAATGACTTCTGGTTCCACGACCTCAACCCCACAGACGCTTATGAAAGCAGCAAGTCACTTCCTTCTCCTTGATCCAGTTTTATTCCCCTCGGGAAGCACTCTAGCCCTCTCCAGAACACTCTAATTCTGCACAGGGATAATTATACCTGGATGACCTCTCCATGGATACGCAACTGGAACTGTCCTCAGCTGGCAGCAAGGTAACTCTGCCCCAAGTCCCTTCCTCCTCCCAGGCACAAAGAGATTTGCCAATCCCAGCCAGGCCTCAGCTGGTGGAAACCAAGCCCCAGTTCCAGGAAATGAGCTGATAAACAGGGAAAAGTTCCCTCCTGCTCCAGCAGGACATCCAGTTATTGATCCTTATCTCCTGCTCTCCTGCAGCATGAGTCAGTCTTGCTGTGATTCACACCACAGGGAGAGGGAAAGGACCTCCCCTTCTGTCCTTCCCAGACCTAACTCCATTCGCCTGCTGGAATGCTTAATTTCCCCTTTTTTCTCTGTGGTTTTGTCCCCATTGCACTTCCTCAGCAGGAACCACCCACCCTGGGACTGGGCTCGGGCAGAGACAGCTCAACTCCAACCAGCTGCATGGAGCAGGATGGCACCGGGCTGCTGGAAAACCAGGAGGCTACTCCCACTTACCCCTCATCTCCCGAGGTGGGATGAACTGGGACTGCCCCGGGGTCCAGTTCTGCTCCGTCAGGTTCATCTGGGTCATCTCCTGCTCGAGTCCATCCACGCTGGATTCCACTGGCGACTCCCAGTTGCTCTTGGCTGGTGGGGGGGAGGTCTCTGCAGGTGTGGGTTTTGGAATGACAGGAGCCAGCCCCTCGGAAGCGGGCGCTTCCTCCGACAGCTTCCCCGCGTCCCCAGCCTTCACTCTGGTCCTTCTGGCCCGGGAATAGGATTTCTTCTCAACTGGTCTGTCTGGTGGCGGCTGCGCAGCATCAGCAGCCACGGCTTGGTTTTCCAGAGCCCCCTCCTCCTTCCCGGGGCTGCCATGGATATGTGGCACCTCCAGCTCGGGGGACGTGTCCCTCGGCGGGCTCTGCTCCGCCCGCTTCCCGCGGTAGCCGCTCTCCTGCTTGGCTTGTTCCCCGTTTCTGTGCGGGACACCCGCTTCTGAAGCCCGGTAGCCTGGACGGGTCTCCTTGTAGCCCCCCATCCTGGGGTAGTTCCTGGTGGGGGGCATCCTGCCAGTGCTGGCAGAGCTGCGGCTGGTGAAGGGCCGGGGGGGGGCCGAGGGGCTCTTGGCTCCCTGGTGCCTCGGGGGCTTCGGGGGCCTCTCGCTGGACCAGTTGGGGTCTCGCTGGGGGGGACTCCCAAACCTGGGGGAGAAAAACAGCACAATTAACTGCAAAGAAACCCCTGGGTGGGAGGAATTGCTGTGCCCCTCTCTGGGATACACGTCCAGAAATCCCAGGAATAAGTGATGGGTTTTTAAATCCATACAGCACTTTGGTTTAAACCATAAACCACAGTGCCAAGGTGATCACAGGTGATCCCAGGGGAGTGAAAACAGACAAAATAAACACTGGAAGTGCTCATGGATCACTGACAATGCAAATACAGGCACAGGAAGACAGAATGGACTGAGGGCAGCGAAATGCTTCCGAGAATTAACTCTCTCCCATACAACAGGACTTCCCCTCCTTGGGGCTCTAGACCCATCCTCTCACGGGACAATCCAGGGCCTGGTGTGACTCTGGGGCTCACCGTGGTTTGCGCATCCTCCTGGGCTTGATGTCGTCAGGGTTGTGGGCTGAGCGGATGTCGTATCCGTACAGAGCAATCAGCTCCTGCCTGGTCTTGGGGGCCTGCTCGTCCTCCCGGAATTTGTCGTGTTCCCAGCGCCCCTCGTCCTTCCACAGCTTCCGCTGACGGCCCTTGGGCCTGGAGCAGGGACACAGGGAGGAGTAAGGATGTACAGCTGAGATGTGGCGGCTTCAAGCAGTCCCACACACAGAGACCGAGCATTCCTGGGGCAGGGAATGCACAGGAGGCAGCATTCCTCCTTCCCCCCGCTCCTCCTGCCCAGCAGCTGCTGGTGACCCACTGCTCTTTGGGAAAAGCAGCAGGAAGGGTCACTGCTCCCTGGCACGAGGCTTTCTTTGGGAGCTTGTTTGCATCTCTTGTTCAAAACAAAAACCTGAAGTGTCCTGGAAGGACACAGAGCAGGTAACGGAAGCATGGACCTTCCCAGTGCATCCCACTGAAACAAGGAGCTGTGCTGCCAGAGGTCGGCCTGGAAGCTGGCCTGGAACGGCCTCCCTCTCCCAGAGCCCCTGGGGGACACATACCTGACCTCCTCCTCCTGCGTCTGCCCTCGCAGGTCGTGCTCGAAGAAGAGCCCCTTGCGCGGGATGTACGCGGGGTTCTTCCGATCCTCATCGTCGTCCAGGTGCTTGGGGACCTTCTTCCCAACTTTCTTCTCCACAGGCTCCGTGCTCTCCTGTCAGAACCAGCGAGCTCTCACCACTGCAGCAGTCCTGCTGCCAGCCCCCAGCCCGTCCCCGCGGGACACCCACCTGCCCGTCCCCGCTCTGCCGCTCGCCCGTCACCGCTCCCTTGGCATCCAGCTTCTCACTGCCCTTCTCTGCTCTGGCTGCTGACTCACAGGAGTCGGTGCTGTCCTGCTTCAAGTCCACCTTGGAGCTTTCTTCCTCGCTGTAATCCTCCTCCTCCGCCTGGCAGACACCCAGTGACTCAAATGTGCTCCGTTAGAAACAGATCTCCCAGGTATCTCCCCAAATCTGGAGTTAGATCCAGCAACAGATCCCCCAGGATTTCTCCCAAATCTGGAGTTAGACCCAGCAACAGGTCCCACAGGAATATCCCCAAATCTGCAGTTAGACGCCACAACAGATTCCCCCAGGAATCTCCCCAAATCTGGAATGAGATCCCTGTTCCAGCTGTTAGACCTGACTCTTCAAAAGCAGAGGATTAGCTCTTAGAATTCTTCCCATCCCAGTATTTTTACAGAAAAAGCAAAGGCTAAATAAACCCAACCTCTTCCAGGAAAGTGAGGATCCAACAGGCTTTCTGGAATGGAGCTGGGATCAGCTCCTCCACAAAGCCCTGGCATCCCATCACTCCAAAAAGGGCTCCTGCAAACTGGGGAGACTGGTGATCACAGGCCCTTCCTTCCACGCCGAGGGCCCGGATCCAGCCAGAGCCACGTTTCCAAATTCCCTGGAGTTCCTCAGCTGACTCACTCTGCTCAGGAGCGTGACCTGGTTTCACCCTCCAGGAGCCTTCGGAGGCTGGAGCCGAACTAAAAATAGCTCGGGGTGATTAACCAAACCCTGCTCCATTTTCCTCTTTCAACACAGCCCTTCCACATCGGCTGCTCCCGGTGTTTACGCCGGGGAAGCCCAGGCCGGGCATTATTTTTAGGCACAGGAACAGAGTCATCCTGGCACGGGTGGTGATGCAACAACCTCGCTGCCACCGGGAGTCTCCACGCAGGATTCCAGGCTGGAAGAGCTCCGGGAGCTGCCCTGTTCCCTCCCTGTGCTGCCGCGCTCCTTCCTCGTTAATGGCAATGCTTAATTCCCAAACTGAGATTAACTCCCAAATTAACAGCTTGGATTTCCTCTGCCTGGTGGTTTGTGTGTTCCCTAACCACTGGACCCCTGAAGGATCCCAGAACAAGAGATGGATTTTCCCTAGAAACCCTTCACTATAACCCTCAGAGACCAGAACTTCTCTAAACTTCCTGGAAATCTTTGAGTTCTAAAAATCCAGGGAAACCCGCAGCCCCCAGGCACTGGTGGGGTGGGATTCCCTCAGCACCCCCAACTCCTGGGATGCGTCGCCCCTCCAGCTGCTCCTCCAGAACACAGGGAAGCTCCTGGGATGCTCCCAACCACCACTTTGCTTTTTAATTTCAATTAATTAAAACCCAATGAGCATCCCACACTCCTCCCACGCCCTTCTTGGCCATGGCAAATCCTGTTCCCAGTGTCTGAGAAGCCAGGAGAGTTTTCCCTGGCACGTACTGGCCCTACACCCTCCCAGCAGCACAGGGACACTGGTCCCAGTGCCAGGGACTGTATCCCAGGGGCTGGTACTGGGAGAGGTTGTTTCCTCGGGATACAGAAGGGTCAGGTGGAAGAGATCCAAGGACACAGCCTGGGAGTTGTGCTGAAATTCCATGAGAACCAGTCGCTTACCTCCGAGTCCTCGGCGCTTTCATAGTCTGAGAGCACGGCTGCAGGGAGGGAAAATGGTTGGGATCAGGGCAGGGTCGGACATGGCTCCTCTCCCTGTGCCACCAAATCCCTTCCAAAGGGAATCTGGAGGCGAGCACCATCCCGGATCAACACCCCAACCAGCCCAGAAGGGAGCAGGAGCGAGTTTGGGGTGTGCTGTCTCTGCACCCCATGTTACAAGTGAATATTTGGGATGGCAACAACAACAAGATTTCTGGAAAAGGCATTTTATCTGATTTCTATTTTTTTTTTTTTTCACACAAACAATGCTTGCAACGACCAGAGGTCATCACTCACCGTCTCCTTCGATGCCATCCTCGCTTTCCTGCGGAGAGAGGACAAAGAAGGGAGTTAGAGGAAGAGGAGACCAGCAGCCAGGTCCCTGCAGCATGGAAACATGGGATCATGGAACTGTTCAGACTGGGAAAGACACTTAAGATCGCCAAGTCCATTATCCCAGCACTGCCTTGTCACCACTAATCCATGTCCCCAGGTGCCACATCCACATGGTTTTGAACACTTCCAGGGAGGGTGATTCCACCACTGCCTGGACAGCTCGTTCCAGTGCTTTACAATCTCTTCCATGAAGAAATTTTCATTATAAACTACTTTCCTAATATCTACTAGCCTAGTATCTTTTCTAGTTTCTATTGTTTCATCCTAGCATCTGTTTTTCCTAATATCCAGCATCCCATGATCCCAGACACAACGACAGCAAGGTCTGGCCCTGCTCCTGTCGCATCCACCCTTGGAAGTTCAGCTCCAGTGACCACAAAGGAACAAATTCCAGGGCCCCAGTGCCTTTCCAGAGCAGCTACGCTGGGGGAATATCGAGAGCAAAGCACAGCCTGTGTCAGTACTGGGAGTCTCCAGGGAACACAGTGGCAATGACAGGAGTGCCAGGATCCCTCTCTCGCCGAGGGAGAGCCAGGGAAAGGGCAAAACCAGGGAATAACGCACAGATGCCGTGCAGGATCCAACTCAGGAAAGGCGCTGGATGAAGGAACAGCTCAGAGCAGGAAAAGTGTTCAGTAAAACTGTTGCCCAGAGAAGCTGTGGCTGCCCCAGCCCTGGAAGTGTCCAAGGCCAGGTTGGACTGGGCTTGGAGCAACCTGGGACAGTGGAAAGTGTCCCTGCCCATGGCAGGGGGTGGGACTGGATGGGCTTTAAGGTCCCTCCCAACCTAAACCATTCCATGATTCCATGATACATGAACAGACTGACCCAACTGTGCAGGAAAAACAACCTCAGAGCACAAACGACCAGCCAAGGCAGGAGATAAATCCGAACATCAAAACAACCACGGGAAAACATACTGGGAATCAGGGGGAGCTGGAAATAACCAGCCCTGGAACCCAAAACAGGAGGGAACTGCACCTGGATGTGAACTGCCAGAGCAGAACTGCCCGATGAGGGGGGGAACAGCAGCCCCCACCCGCCTGCCCCCCACTGCAGGGACCCCAGGGGTGGGGAAGGGACCCCAGGAAGGGGAGCTCGGGCAGGCAGACAGGGAACAAACCCTGGGGCACAGGGGGACAGAGCAAAGCCCCTCCCTGGTCCTGGGGGGCCACAGAGCCCTCCCCCTCGAGGCTTCCCCAGCCCTGCTCCCCCCAACACACAGAGGGGTTCCGCCCCAATTCCCCCAGTACCCCCAATTCCCCAGCCTGCTGCTCCCTCAGCTCTCCAGCCTCCTCTTGTCCCCCACACTCTCAGGCCCCAGTACCAGCCTCCCCCAGCTCTAAGACCCCTGACCTCCCCCACGGGACCCCCCAGACACCAGAGCAATCCCCCAGCCCCCTGCCTTCCTCAAGAGGGTCCCCCTGTCCCCAAGGACCCCAAATTAGCCCCCCACGGGACCCCAAGACGCAGGATCCCCCCCTCCAGCCCCCTCCCGAGGGTCCGCAGTGTCTCCGACTTCTCCCACGCCCCCCCCCCATTCCCCAGAGCTTCCCCCGTTCCCCAGCCCTCCCACTCCGTCCCCAGTGTCCCCAAGTTCCCAACCTCCCTCCCACACACCAAAACGCCCTCCCGGTCTCCCCAGATCCCTCCTTCCCTGGGGGCCCCGAAATCAGAGCCCAGAGCCGCCCCCATCGCTCCCCGTGTCCCCAAGGTCGCACCTCTCCCTCCCGGGGTCCCGCCGCGCCCACCCCTCACTCACACACTCCGACTCGGCCGCGCTCTTCCCCCCGGCCCCACCGGCGCTCTCGGCCCCGCGACCCCGCGGCCCGGCTCCCAAGGCCCCCGCGGCGCGGTGCGGCGGCCGCGGCGAGCCGGACCGGGAGCGGGAACGCGACCGCGACCCGGAGGCCGAGCGGGAGCGCGGGGAGCGCGGGGATCCCGGCGCGGACGCGGCGCTGTCGGAGGCCGCCGAGCCGTCGCTGTCCTCGCTGTCCTGCGAGGCGCGCTGCCGCCGCCGGTCCGCCATCTTGGCCGCGGGGCACCACGGGACGGGCCGCGCGCGCCCCCCCCCCCCCCCACCCCGCCGCGCCCCGCCGGTACCGGGCGCCGCCGCCGCCCGCCAGGGGGCGCGCGAGCGCCGCCGCGACGTCACGCCCACCTCCCCTCCCGCGCGGAAATGACGTCACGCCCGAGGGAAGGACCGGGGGGGGGGGTTTGTTTAAACACCATCAGCAACCCAGCGGCCTTTTCCTCTTTTTATTGTAAAAAAAAAAAAAAAACCAAAAAGAAAAAAAAAAAAAAAAAAAGAAAACCAATAAAAAAATAATAAAATAAACCGGCGAGCGGGTGTGCACACGCGCGCGTGAAACCCCCCCCCTTCTCCCTCCCCTGGCGGCGCCCGCCCGGAATGTGTTTAGAACTCGGGTGTTTTTAGAGCTTTTTTTTTTTTTTTTTTTCCGTTGGGGTTTTTTTTTTTTTTTTTTTG